GCAGCACTCGCCAGAAGGCAGTGGCCAGGGGCCTCGGCAGGGCCTCTTCGGCCTGCGCTGCGGCCTGCAGGTCCTCCCCAGAAGCAATGGCTTCGCTCAGCGAGCGCGTGGGGGTGCAGCACTCAGCACCCAGCGGGGGCTGCTGCTCGCTTTGCTGCTGCTTCCGCAGCTCCCGCAGAAGCGGGTGCTCCAGCAGCGACAGCAGGATGCAGCAAGTGGCCAGCTGGATGAAGACGTGCCACAGAGAGTGCAGCAGCCAGTAGTGGTCATTGCCCTCGCCCACGCCGAAGCAGCCCACGCCTGCAGCAGCAGCACCAGCCACTCAAGAGATGCTCCTGCAGCCCAAGCGCCCCTTGCAGCACCCGCAGCAGCAGCAGCAGCAGCAGCAGGACCAGCAGCGGCTTCCCCGGACGTTGCTGTTCTTCGCCCTTGAGGGCGCTTCGTGCTGCAGTGCAGGGCCCCTAGAACTTACCGACGGCAGCGAGAATGATACCAAGGCCGAGGAACTCCAAGCGGGGAGCAGTTTCGGTAGCAGCAATTCCCAGGCAAGAGGCCCAGCTGAGGGGTCCCCCCGGGTGGCCGCGCCGGAGGTCACTGGGGGAGCTGGCGGCGAGGAGGGGCCCCTCGGGGGCCCCCGGAAGCACAGCCTTGCATGCAGCTTTGAAGGAAAAGGCTATGGCCTGCAGGAAGCTGCGGCGGGCGCCCGCAGCGCAGCTGCAAAGCTCCACGCGGCACTTTCTGCAGGCCTCGAGGCGGGCTATGGCCTGGGCAATGGCCTCGAGGCAAATGCGCTCGCGGGCGTCTTCCATCTTGTGTCTGAGGAGCAGCTGGAGCTCGCCGTGGTGGTGATGGGCGCTGAGGACCTCCTCGGGGCCCTGGGGGCCCCCCCCGGGGCCCTCCCCCGAGGCCCCCCGGGGGCTGTCCAGCCACTTTATGTCTTGGGGCTGCCATTCCTGCAGCGGCTCCAGAAGGCGCTGGCGGCGCTTCTCCGCGTCGCGGGCTGCGCAGCAAATGGCGAAGGCCTTGAGGCTGAGGCTGAGGGCTGGCAGCGCAACGCATGCAGCCACGAAACAAACTGCGTCAAGGGGGGCGAAGGTCTCGGGCAGCCACTTGAAAGCCAGCAGCAGCAGCACGCCCAGCAGCCCCAGCAGCTCCACAGCCACAGACCCCACGTCCGCCAGCGCAGCAGCAGTCACAAACAGCACGTAGTAAGAAAACAGAAAGTCCAGCCGCTGCAGCAGCGGCACTCCAATCGGCAGCCGCGCCGTCGCGTCCACGCACGAATGGTACAGTGCAGACCACAGAACTGCAGCAAACTCACAGCCCCGCAGCAGCAGCCACAAACTCAGCTGCTTCTTACGCTGCTGCTGCTGCTGTTGCTGGAGCTGCTCATTCTCACACTGACGCTGCTGCTGCTGCTGCTGCTGATGATGCTCCTGCAGCTACTACTTCTTACACTGACGCTGCTGCTCCTGCTGCTCCTGCTGCTCCTGCTGCTCCTGCTACTGTTTACACTGATGCTGCTGCTGCCGCTGCTGCTGCTAGGGCGCGTCGCGGCTATTTGTGCCACGCTGTGCACGCAGCTCCTGGTTGCCCAGGGGCGGACGCTGGGCTTTGACTAATGGGTTTTAGGGGCCTCGTGGGTGCAGCAGCAGCAGAAGCAAAAAGGGCTGGAGCTTACAGGCGCTGAAGTAGGCGAGGGCCCTGGCGGCGTAGAGGACGCAGCAGGCGTGGCTGCTGCAGCTGCGGGCGGGGCCCCCAGGCTTGAGCGGGGGGACCCCCGCGAGGCAGCGGGCGCATGCAGAGGGGTTGCCGGGGATGTTGAGGTGCCGCAGGGCCAGCCGCAGACACAGCAAGAAGCTGGGCAGCAGCGCCAAGTTCGACAGCACCAGCGCAGCCTGCGCCAGCCCCCGCAGCCACGGCCCCAGCAGCTCTGCTTCGCAGTTTTCGCCTCCGAAGCCGTACGCGCAGCGGCAGCCGAACACGGCGAAGCCGTCCAGCCGGTCAGTTATGGCGCATGCGCCCTGCTCTGGGCACGGCTGCAGCAGCAAATGCATGCAACCAGCAGCCAGCAGCGCATGCATGCGCGCAGCAGCCAGCAGCAAATGCATGCGCGCAGCAACCAGCAGCAAACGGGCTTCCGCAGACCCCAGGAGCTCTTCCCAGCGCGGAGGGTGGGTCTTTAGGGGCAGCAGACTGCGGGCTAATTGCGGGAAGTCTGGCTGCTGCGAGGGGCCTGTCAAGCGAACAAAGGCTGCTCTGCTGCTGCTGCTGCTGCCGCAGCAGCAGAAATGCAGTAGGGGCCTACCTGGCTGCACAGCCGCGACACTTGGGATGAAGCGTGGAGATTGATGCTGAGGTCTGCCTCTGAAGGCCCCCGCAGGCGCTGCTCTCGCTGGCCTTGGCCTCCAGAGGTCTCCCCCGTCTCCAGCAGCTGCCACTGCAGCACATATGTTGTTGGCAGCAAACTGAAGTCCGGAGGGAGCATCTCCGCAACGACTACCCAGGGGTGGCTGCCGAGTTTGGCAGCCCCAATCTCTGCTGCAGCAGCCTCCCGGGGGGTCCCCAGCTGCCCTCCGGGGGGCCCCCCAGGGGGGCCCCCGGCGGGGGCCCCCACGAGGCTGTCACCGCCATCCTGCGAGTCTTCACACACAATAGGCAGCCGCAGCAAAGCCCGCCTGAGAGGCGCAGCAGAGCTGTGCTGTCCCCCGCGGCCAGCCCTGGCTGGCTGCTGCTGCTTTGCCCACCACTGGGGGGCCTGCGAAAGCACAGCATCTCTTGTGACAAGAACAGCGAGTGCGTAGGAGTAAAGGCGGCGGTGGCGGAGTGTGGGGGCAGCATCGGCCTGCTGCTGCTGCTGCTGCTGCTGCTGTTGCTGCTGCTGCTGCTGCAGCGCATTCGGCAGAGGGGAGCACTGCCGCTTCTGAGAGGCAGCAAAAGGTGTTAAGTCAACCACAACAGAAAGACGGCGACCCCCTGACACTGCTGCAGGGGTTAGAGAGAGCGAGGTAAGCGCAGGGGGCCCCACAGGGCTCCAGGGGGCCTCCAGTTCCTCCGCTGCCTCTGTTGCTGGACTAGCTGCCGCAGCACTAGCTGCTGCAGCACTTAGCCGCCGCGCTTCTCCTGCTCCTGATGAAGTATGAGGAGCTGAATGGGCCCCCAGGGCTACAGGGGCCTCGGGGAGGGCCCCCACGGCGACAAAGACATCTAAGTCATTAGGCCGGAATATCGAGAGGCTTGTGAATGCTGCAATAATTCTGCTGCACCACATGCAGTCTCCCTTGATGCCCTGCATCTCATCTGCTGCTGCAGCTGAGTCCCGGGCGCTGCTGCTGGGTGCCACAGCTGCTGCTTCTGCAGGCATTTCGCTTCCAGGGGCCCCCAAAAGATAGCCCCCATGAGCCTTGTCTGCTGCTGGCAAAGTGCTGCTTGTCCCCTGCTGCTTCCCCCCTTCTAGACCGTCAGCAGGGGCCCCCTTAGCCAGCTCCCCTGTGGGACTATGGCCCCCAAGAGTCTGTTGGGGGCCCCCCCGGGGGCCCCCCAAGGGGCCCCCAAGTGGGGCCCACCCCAGCAGGGGCCGGGCCAGGACCTCTCGGGAGCGCCTTGAGGCCTCAGCAAAGACAGACTTGCAGGCCCGCTGCACGGCAAAGAGAGTTACAACGTCAGAGCTGGAGGCCTGCAGGGCCCCCGGGGGGCCCCCCGGGGACCCGGGGGG